AATCTCTTCTCTTCTTCTTCTTTTTTACTGGGGTGTGTGTGTGCGTTTAAAGTAGAGGACTATTGAAAGATACTGTTGCATAAGTATCATACATGGCAAACTGGCTGTTTATTTAATTCATTTATGCCCCATCTTTCATCCCAATGAACACCCAAAAGGGCTTACATCTTTCTCTTCTCCTCTATTTTATCCTCACAACTACCCTGTGAGGTAGGTTAGGCTGAAAAACTATGACTGGCCCAAGGTCACCCTGCAAGCTTCCATGGCAGAGTGAGGAATCGAACCCACATCCTAGGCCAGCACTCTCATAGCCAGCACACTATACTGGCTCTTCTGTTTAGGGAGTAACAGGAGTGAAAATGGCTGTGGGGCAGGAAGTGGGACAGATACCTAGCCCCCCCCCCCCCGATAGGCAGTGCTGCTAACAGCACTGGAACCAAGGCCACTATGTAGAGCGCTATGAAATTTCTTTTGCAGTGGTCCAGGCATCCAACAGGCACATTATGTAGCACAAGAACAGTTCCTTCAAGATGGTGATACAAGAACACAACAGAGAGCATGTTTGGAGTGAGCCACTGGAGAGTCTAGAGCAGGGGTGTCAAGCAAGCGGCCCGGGGGCCGGATCAGGCTCCCCCGGAGGCCCTCAGTGCAACTGGCTGTCTTCTGCTTCTTCTTCCAGCTTATTTATTTATTTATTGGGATTTTTACCCCGCCCTCCCTGCAAAACGGGCTCAGGGTGGCTTACAAGGGGCAAAGCCCATATAAAACAGGTTAAAAGCAATAAGAACGTTAATAACAATTAATCACAAACAACAATGATACTCAATTGAAAGCAGGATGGTCCCCGAATATATACAATGATGGTAAAAACAGTTCTCTGGGGGTGATGTTGTGCTATAGCTGATCCCAAGCAAGTAAGTCCAATAATATCAATCGTGCAAAATTGTGGCAGATCTTCCCGGGCCATCCTTAACCCCGATGTTGTCCACATCATTGGTAGTGGTGGTAGTGGCGGCCCCTATGTGAAAGCCTGGCGGAAGAGCTCCGTCTTGCAGGCCCTGCGGAACTGCATAAGGTCCCGCAGGGCCCTGATCTCCTCCAGGAGCTTGTTCCACCAGGTAGGGGCCACCACCGAAAAGGACCTGGCCCTAGTCGCGGTGAGCCTTGCCTCCCGGGGGCCTGGAACCACCAGGCGATGTTGCGCCCAGGACCCAAGTGCTCTTGGGAGTATATGTGGGGAAAGGCGGTCCCTCAGGTAAGTCGGACCCTGGCCATATAGGGCTTTAAAGGTAAGTACCAGCACTTTGAAACAGATCCGATATGCTATTGGCTTTCAGTGCAGTGCTTTCAGCCCAGGCTGGATGTGCTCCCACTTGGGGAGACCCATCATCAGCCTGGCCACCGCATTCTGCACTAGGTGCAGCTTCCGGATCTGCCCCAAAGGCAGCCCCATGTAGGGAGCGTTACAGTAGTCTAACCTCGAGGTGACCGTCGCGTGGATCACTGTGGCCAGGTCATCGCGGCCAAGGAAGGAGACCAACTGCCGAGCCAGCCGAAGATGATAAGATGCCAATCTGGCAGTGGCTGCCACCTGGGCCTCCATAGTTAAGGAGGGATCCAGGAGCACTCCCAAACTCCTAACCTCCAACGCTGGCACCAACGGCGCCCCATTGAAGTTCGGGAGAGGGAGCCCCAACCCCGGTGCCCAGTTCAGATCTTCTGGGTCAGAGTTCTGCTGCTCCTGCATCATCGTAGGTTTGCAGCTTACAGATACACACCTGAACAGCATACAGAAGACTGCAGCAGCACAGGCATTTTGATGTAATAATTCAGAGGAAGGGGTTTCAGTTATCAGGCACTTCTAAATAAACAAAATATTGCAAGAGTGCTGATGTTTTAAGCATGATTTTATTTTAAGTAAAAAAAACCCCTTTATGTCCTTTATAAAGTTTATGTCTTTGCTACCTGGCATTACATTTTGTGACACACGTGGCCCGGCCCGACAAGGTCTCATTTACATCACAACAAATGACTTTGACACCCCTGGCCTAGAGCGTCCAATCGGTCTGAGGACTTGAAACTCCCGCTCATGCACATTTACCCTCGGTCTCAAACATACTGAGGGATAAATTCACCTGTGGTATCAATGCATTCCCGGAAAACATTGTCTAAGTCTGGGCCTGCTCTGTTGAGCGTCCACAGTCTATAGGAGGCATGAAGTGCCCACTCAGAGCGTGCCAATGTGTAAAATATCTGCAAACGGGTGAGATCCCAATTCTGGTGTCTCCATGGTGTCGAGAGAGTACGAGAAGCCACTGGATTCCTTCCATGTTAGATCTCTAGAATCGCCGACCATGCGTGGGGAGACGATAGCCCCAAATATGTCAACATTTTAGCCCAGGGGAGTCAAACTCATTTGTTATGAGGGCCAGATCTGACATAAATGAGACCTTGTTGGGCTGGGTCACGTGTGGCATAAAATATACTGCCAGGTAGCAGAGATATAAACTTTATAAAGGACACAGACACAAAGGGTTGTTGTTGTTTTACTTACAATAAAAACATGCTTTAAGCATCAGCACTCTTGCAATATTTTGTTTATTTAACAGTGTCTGATCACTGACACCTCTTGCTCTCAATTATTGCATCAAAATGCCTGTGCTGTTGCAATCTTGAGTCTGCTGTATCAGGTGTGTATCTGTAAGCTGCAAACCTACGATGACGCAGCAGCAGCAGAACTGGAAGAAGAAGCAGGAGACAGCCAATTCCACTGCGGGCCTGATGAGCCCTCCGGGGGAAACTGATCCGGCCCCCGGGCCACATGTTTGACTCCCCTGTTTTAGCCAATCCCTCCCCCACCTTGAGACTGTGAGCAAGCTCCCCCCACCCACCCCTAACTAAGCTGGTGTCGCTTGATTTCCCAGGTGATGTCGATGATGCTTTCTTATCCGATGATGATATCATCTCCAGAACTCAGTTTCCTGAGAGTTGGTTGTGGCAAGTGGAACATCTGAATGGAACTCCCAATGACCAGGGGTACCTGCCTTTTTGTCTTCTGCAGTGCGGCATCATCATTTGAACTAGTCATCTGAACAGGTCTGAGAGTCATTCACTCTCCACAGAGGATGCTGAGAACTGTAATGGGGACCAGGTGGTGGTGGTTAAAATTATATGCAGCCTCTTGTCGCCAAGTGGTCTCGAGGCAGCTAACAACAGCTAAAATATTAACAGACACCAATTAAAAATGTAATATGGATAAAACTAAAAGGCGGCCCACATAAACAGACTTAATGAAAAGCTGTATAAACCCCTGTATAAATCGATGATGCGATTTGGAGTCCTTTGTATAGTACTGGTAACCACGTCTCAGAAAGGATATTATAGCATTGGAAAAAGTGCAGAAAAGGGCAACTAGGATGATAAAAGGGTTGGAACACTTTCCCTATGAGGAAAGGTTAAAGCGCTTGGGGCTCTTTGGCTTGGAGAAACGACGGCTGAGGGGTGACACGATCGAGGTCTATAAGATTATGCATGGGAAAGAGCAGGTAGAGAAAGAGGTACTTTTCTCCCTTTCTCACAATACAAGAACTCGTGGGCGCTCCGTGAAATTGCTGAGTGGTCGGGTTAGAACGGATAAAAGGAAGTCCTTCTTCACCCAAAGAGTGATCAACACATGGAATTCACTGCCACAGGAGGTGGAGGTGGCCACAAGCAGGAATCGCTTCAAAAGGAATTAGATAAGTATATGGAGCAGAGGTCCATCGGTGGCTATTAGCCACAAGGTATAGATAGGAACTCTTGGTCTGGGGCAAGGGATGCTCTGTCTTCTTGGTGCGTGGGGGGGGCAACAGTGGGAGGGGCTCTTAGTGTCCTGGCCCACTGCTGGACCTCCTGATGGCACCTGGTATTTTTGGCCACTGTGTGACACAGAGTGTTGGACTGGATGGGCCATTGGCCTGATCCAAGATTTGGCTTCTCTTATGTTCTTATATTCTTAAAACTAAACAGAAGAGCTCTGCTTTACAGACCCTGCGGAACACAGGACTCTTCCACATTCTGATTTTCATCACTTGTGTGTTTTTATTGCTTCAGGGTTCCCCGCCCCCAAATGTGTTTTGCTCTCTCTGGTAGTCCCAGAGGGAGTAAAACACATGTGAGAAAAGGGAGGGGGGGACCCAAAGCAATAGGGACAAACAAGTGACAGGGCCCACATACCGTCTGACAGCTGATTCCAGCAGGATGGGTCACCACAAAGAAGGCCCTTGTCCTGGAAGATACCAGGTGAGTATCCTGGGGGCCAGGCACCACAACCAGGTTGAAGAGCACAATTGTTTTTTTGGGGGGAACATGTTGGAAGAAGCAGGGTATGAAGGTCCCAGACCATTTAGGGCTCTAAAGGTCAAATTGGCAACCAGTGCGGCTGTTTCAAGACAGGATAGATATAATTTCTCCAAGGAGAACCTGTCAGCAATCTTGCCACTGCATTCTCTGGACGTCCTGTAATTTCCGGAGCACCTTCAGGGGCAGCTCTGCTTAGAACGCATTACAGTAGTCTAGGCAGGTGGTGACCGTGGCATGAATCACTGTGGCTCGGTCAGAATGGGACAGATATTGAGACAGTTGGCGGGCTTGGCGCAAATAGAAAAACACTGCCCTTGCCGCTGCTGACCACTGCTTGTCCAGCGACAAGGAGGAGTCAAGCCAGACCCCCAGACTCTTAACAAAGTGCACTAATGGAAGTTGGACCCCATCTAGAGTTGGGAGCTGAAGGCCCCCCAGCAGGGGTCATTTCATAGAAAAAGAGCTAGGGGAACTCATTAGCATAACTCATTAGCATATGCCACACCCCCTGACATCACCGGAAGTCCGGAAGCAAGGGGCGGGGCTTCGTCATGTGCCCCGCCCCCATACCTCACCCGGGGGAACTGCGATCCCCCGCGATCCCCCCCGAAATGACCTCTGCCCCCCAGCAATCCAGACCTCCCCAGCCAGATGATCTCTGTCTTAGATGGATTTAACTTCAGCCAGCTGTTTCAAGGTCTGGTGATCCCAAAAGATTTTCATAAGTCTTGGAAAGCAGGCTTGCCTCAGTATGGAGGAAGGAAAAGGAAGATTTTTGACTGGACTGCACTGGTCAGTGGTCAGTGGGAAGCAGCAGAGTACGCTGTTTTGTGTTTTGTTAGATTTTTAGCCTTCCTCTTAGATGCATGGAAAGGTGAGATCAGGGTGGTGGGGAAAGGAGTCCCTGAAGTTTCTGAGCCTGTGGGTGCCTTTGGAATTCTGACACCGCATGTTGTGGGAAGCCGCAAAATGGCTACTGCAGGAAGCAGAGCCAACTTACCTTCAATCACACAAAGGAAGATCTTTGTGCTGTGGTTTCAGATGCTTTTTAAAATCTGCAGTCAAATCTCCCTTGGCCAATCAGAAGCTTTGCGAGGCGAAAGTCCCGCCTGGGCCTGCCCACTTTCTCATTTGGTGGGCACCATAAGAACATAAGAAATGCCAATGTTGGATCAGGCCAAAGGCCCATCCAGTCCAACACTCTGTGTCACACAGTGGCCAGAAATACCAGGTACCATCAGGAGGTCCACCAGTGGGGCCAGGACATTAGAAGCCCTCCCACTGTTGCCCCCCCCCAAGCACCAAGAATACAGAGCATCACTTGCCCAAGAGCCCCTACCTATACCTTGTGGCTAACAGCCACTGATGGACCTCTGCTCCAGATGCTTATCTAATTCCCTTTTGAAGCCGTCCATGCTTGTAGCCGCCACCACCTCCTGTGGCAGTGAATTCCAAGTGTTCATCACTCTTTGGGTGAAGAAGGACTTCCTTTTGCCCGTTCTAACCCGACCACTCAGCAATTTCATGGAGTGCCCACGAGTTCTTGTATTGTGAGAAAGGGAGAAAAGCAAGGTTTTAGCGGGCACCATATCACCCATGGGTACCACGCTGGGGACCCCTGGAATAGCTCCTGCCCCTCTGCTTTTCTGCTTCTCTGGCTTGGTATCTGTAGGGTAATCATAGGCGGTGGTCACACTGGCGGCTTGGCGCGATATATGGTGCCGCCTCTAATTGAACCCTGCTGCGGGTTACCCGCGGAGACATCCACATTACTGCAGCGCCTCAGCCATGGAGCACACTGCAAAACAAATTATTCAAAATCCATGTGCGCGCATAAGTGCGCGCGCGTGTGCTTACGCGCAATTTTTTAAAAACCCTCCCTAGTGGCAGAACGGATCTGCAGGTTCAGACTGCCACATCCATTCTGCACATGCTCCCCCACATTCAGACATCCGGCCATGCGCGATGACTGTGCGGGGAACCAAAAAACACAGCTTGTGATGTGGTGCCCAAGTCATCCTATGACGGGATAAGTATGACTGGGGAATGCCTGACAGATGTGGCTGTCTGACTGTGCCCATTTGATCCGGAGGGGAGGAGTGGCTGTGTCGGTCCAAAGTGCCCGTGTGATCACAGCCATAGATCCTCTTCAAAGCTGACCAAGCAACCAGGCACCCGCAGAAAGGCTCTCTCTGAAACATGTAGAGTCCGGCTGGAACGTTATGTCGAAAAACCAGACCTTGTGCTTTTTTCTCTGGGATGTGTCCTCTGATACTATAGAGCTGTGTATTTCACACCTCTGCTTCACACTGCCGGGTGGTGCTGGCAGCAGGTTGGGGAAAGCAGGGAAAGCCTGCAGTGTTTTGCCACGAGAATCAGGCTCCGTTGTCCTCCATGTTCTGGGAAGGGAGGGGGGAATCGTTCATCTGCCTCCCATTTTCTGCAGCAGCCTCGTGTCTCATCCCAGCTCGAGACTGGACCTCTGGTCCACATTTCTGCTTCGGATAGGTGTAATGGGGCACCTTCTCTTTGTATCTAGGATCTCATCCAAGACGATGTCGGTTTTCCTGCAGGATTCCATCACGACCTGGGAAGTGCTGGCCGTGAGCCTTTCGGAGACTAAAGGTAAGGAATCTTGTACGCCAAGCATCGTGCAGGTGTGTGTGGGTGGGTAGGTAAGTGGGTGGGTGTGCAGCTAATACTGCAATTGGCCTGGCTCTAATTTGATCCTGATCTTTCTTATCTGGACTTGCACGATCAGACAGCTCCCCTTACCGTGCGCGTACTCCGCGGTGGATTGTCTGAAGGAGCCCCGTGGTCGGGTTGGTTTCTTTTAAAAAAAATCTGTTTGTGCATGCACATCCGCACCTCAACGTGTACTTGTTTTTCCGCACATGCGTGGAGTTGAACAGTTAAAGCACCACAAGTGGTACCTCTCTCTAGGTACCTTTTTAATTAATGCAGTTCATAAAATTAACGGGCAGTTTAGAAACATGAAACTGTCTGAAACATTTGAGCAGAGCTCTGTGGTTGTTGCGTGTTTACACGTTTATGTGCATATTGCTAAGATTTTTTTTTTAATGGCGTCCGCTTGGAATGGTCTGACGTCAGACCATCCCAATGGGAGGATTGCACACTGGAATGATCAGATGGGGGAAAGTCCGCAATTGGCCCATTGGGAAGCAAAAACTCCGGATTTTAACTAGTATCTTTTAAGTATGGCTCCGAACTACGGCAAAATGAGATGCTCACGGAAGAGGCACATTTCCCAGATGTTGCTGTCTGGCGCAGTGCCTGGCGCAGATCTAAAAATCCATCTGATCGGGACCTGTGTGTGGCTGAGCAAAAAATGACGAGCTTACAGCCTGCTTTGGAAAGTGCAGAGGAGGCAAAAGGGGTAGTTGAGGCGTAACCTTGTTTCTTCCTTCCCCCCCATTCTTCTCATTCCAGGGGTCTGCGTGGCTGATCCTTATGAGATCGTAGTGATGAAGGACTTCTTCATCGACCTGCGGGTGCCTTACTCGGTGGTGAGAAACGAGCAGGTGGAGATCCGGGCTGTCCTCTACCACTATGTGGAGAATGACATCACGGTGAGCTTTGGGATTTTGGTGGGAGGGGTTGTATTCAGAACTGAGGGAGCTTGCCCCTCTTCCTGCTTCTAGGGCAGGGATGTCAAACTCATTTGTTATGAAGGCCGGATCTGACATAAATGAGACCTCTTTGGGCCGGCCCTGTGTGTGTCAGAAAATGTTATGCCGGGTAGCGGAGATATAAACTTTATAAAGGACACAAACGCAAAGGGTTGTGTTTTTTTGCTTAAAATAAAAACATGCTTAAAACATTAGCACTCTTACAACATTTTGTTTATTTAACAGTGTTTGATAACTTGACAACTTTTGCTCTGAATTATTGCATCAAAATGTCTGTGCTGTTGCAATCTTGAGTATGCAGTACAGGTGTGTATCTGTAAGCTGCAAACCTACGATGACGCGGCAGCAGCAGAACTGGAAGAAGAAGCAGGAGACAGCCAGTTCCACTGATCTGGCCCCCGGGCCGCATGTTTGACACCCCTGTTCTAGGGATTCTGCTTGGTTCTTATAGGCCCCCCCCCCCCCCAGACACTGAATCCAGTGCAAGAGCTGTGTCATGATGCTGTCTTCAGAGGTATGACCATGAATCCCAAGGTCTGTGCAGCTCAACTTCAGGCTTCCTTGAGCATTACTCGCAGTCGTGTCCTTTCCGTTTGGAAACTAAGCTTAGCTTCACGATACCTGTGTTTGCTTGCTTGTTTCGGATATTCCCATGCCACCCCTTCAGAGTCCTACTGAAGGGGGCTTACGGTCAAAACCACGCCTCAATAGTAAAAACAAGCTATTGGACATAAACGGCATAAAAACTATCCATAAAACAGAAGCAGACCATTGGAAGGCTGGTCAGATAGATTAAAACTCTGAATCAAAAGCCTTCTGCCTTTGTGAATGCCGTGTTGTCACTCGGCCTGGGGGGACATGCCCCATTGCAAATATGGCTTTGGAGAACATACCTTGCTGTCTACGGCTTGCTGGAAGGAAATCTACACAGCTTGGAGCGAGGTGCATACACTGTAAGGCACAGAAGTGCTCACAGCCCCAGTTCCCTTCATTTCAGCGGGGCTTGGGCTTCCCTTAGGATTCTGCCCAGGGACCTTGCAAAAGCTGGAAAAACTTGTTCTCCTCCAAGGTTAAAGAGAAGGGGGGGGGGTTGGGGGTGACAGGAGTTGGAACATCTTCCTGTTCCAGTGGCCAGGGATAGAAAAATGTGTGTCCTAGAAACAGAATGTAAAACCGTCAAAACACTCCATCCCCCCTGGCAGAGTAGGGAATAGAAACTGTCATTTGTACTCATTTGGGTGATTCCACACTAGACCTTAAATCCTGGTTCAACCCTGTCCCCAAACTTACATTCTACACTACACACAAGTTCACCCCTGTAATTATCTCGGGGTATTTTTACATTCTACACTACCCTCGAGTTCACCCCTGTAATTATCTCGGGGTATTTTTTGTTTCC